AGATGGGTATAAGAGATCATCATTTGTGAGACAAAAATGTTTACATGCAAACACTGAAACAAAAAAACGTCTATTTTGGAATTTTTCCATCTGGTGACCTGGTTTAAAAAAACAATCTTTTTTAGTCTCCAAAAATCTTGGATTCCTGTGAATGCAAAGGCTAAATGACTAACAGCATTAGTGGATACAACCCTCACCCTGAAATCAGAATCAAATCTTCTCCTGAACTGGGCCTCAGTATTTAACTATCATTACAGTACGCCAGAAAATTTCTTTTTTTTTTGTTTTTTTTACATTTAGTTGCTGCTGCCATAAGAGATAACCTTATAATTCTGCTCTGTGCAAAAATTTACCAGGGGTCCCAAAAAATACAGTAGCTTATCATAACCATACAGCACACTGCAGAACAAATCAGGTCCCTAAAACAGATAATCTGCCTCTATCCTACTCCAGTAATCTAACAACAATCCAATATGGAGTCAGCCTTTTATCCCCAGTTGCTTTTGTTGGGTGTTGGGCTTCATGGTGCATTTCCTTCATCTTCCCAACTATTTTAAGCGTTTATGATGAATTATTTAATCCAGACTCCAGCTCAGCACCAAACAGACTGGTATTGATCCTTTGATTTCAGTCCAGGAAAGAAAGTGAAACTACTGAAGCCTGTCTGCAGCAACAAAAAAAATCCCTCTCTTCGGTCTGCATTGCTTCCGGCTGAGGTATGTGTAATAAGATCAAAAATATTTCTTATTTCTTTACCTTCTAGCGGATCCCGGGTCAGCCCAAGTTGACTGATGATATATCTGGGGATGTCTGCCTTCATTAGTTGTCCCTCTTTGGCGTGATCCTCTGCAGCCTCCAGTAGATGGTAGAACTCCTCTGGATTGAACTCCTGGTTAAACAAGGACAAACGTTAAAGGAGTACAAAAAAATGTATGCATTTAATGGAAGGAAGTAATTTAGTTTGGATGCTATTTTGGGGAACTCATAGGAGTTAAATGGCTTCCCTTCAAACTTTTTATTTTAAACTCAAAGAATCTCTTTTTTTTACTGTCCAAAATCAATGACCGCATTTACATATGTGCTATTAATGGGTTATTATTACCTCCAATAATATTCAGATACATTTTATATGCAAAGAATTTTATATTAGTTTATACATGAGGCTGGTAACCTGTTTGTGAAGCGCCATGACAATTTGCCATCTAAACATTATGCCGACGAGGGATAAAATAGTAATATTGCACGGAACAAAACAACGCCTTGCAGCGGCAAAGATCATTTGGAGACACTACCCCAACAGCTGAAAGTCTGCTCTACTGCAGCGCAAAATAGGACCATGCATAATGCAGCAGCAGCACAAGAAACAGTTTCAACATCCCCCAAAAAGGGAAAAAGAGAACTAAAAGACAACAGAAACAGAGACATAAAAGGATAAACATCGGGTAAGCCTTCTCCAGGTGGAAGGAGCTAATGAAGGAGAACGATTTTAAAAGAGGCGCTGAAGTTACTATGTTTCTCTGAGAGAAGTAAGTGAACTACACTGCATAAATTAGCCTAAACCTAACTTTTAGTGTTCAGTTTATTTAGACAGTCTTAGACAGTCCGACTGACAGCTGGCCTTTATTGTGACAACCGCAATTACTCAAACCATGTAAACAATAATTCTTTTACTGCTGTGTCTGTGTTGTTGCATTTTTTCTTTTCTTTAATGTTTTATGTTATTATAATTATTCAGTCGGATGACATGATTACATCTGCGTTGTAGAGGCATTTTGTCACATGGAGGCTACCACTGCAACAATTTCTGTAGTGGGTTATAAATCCAAGAATTACAGCAAAAAAGTATCCTGAGCCTGAACTTTTTCGACATAGGCAAGAAACTCAGGATTTTAAAATACACACAAACACACACACATAAATAAATATATATATATATATATATATATATATATATATATATATTTGTGTGTATTTTCAAACCATGCCAGGAGGTTGTGGGGGCATGGGGTCAGAGATTGCATGAATGACTGAAAACTAAATTTGACTTTGGAAAATCAAAAAAACAAAAACGGCCAGAAGATGGCAAAAGTGCATCTATATCTAGTGTGAATGAGAGGTCGTGTTAGGTGAGGAAAGCACAAACCCCTATTTTTAACTGGCATACACGGCCAGTTATTGACGCTGGTAAATCAGCTGTTGGCGTATTTTGCGGCAAACGTGTAGTGTGCACGACCGCACGAAAACCACACGCCCCCTTCTTCTGTTTGGCTAATACTGTTAGTTTCAGAGCTCTCCTTTGCTACCATTGGCTGACAAACGCAAGAGGCATTTCCATTATCTTGTTAAAAATGTTCTGCCGTCCATTTATTTTCGAGCCGGAAATCCGACCTAGGGCCGGAATACTTCAATCCCTGTAAATCCTTCAAAGCAAGAAAGGAAACAAGCAAGCAAGGAAGGAAGGAAGGAAGCAAGGAAGGAAGGAAACCACCATCATATAAATGTTATGTTTACAAATCTGTTAAATCAATCATAAATCAATGTCTGAAATTCATAACAGGATAAAAGTTCCAACAAAAATCAGCATTCACACTTTAAATTGCTTTTTCTCCCTCTAAAAGTCTCCTCTTTCAAACCACAACACCTGTCTTTAAGATTCAGTTACCTTCCTGTTGCTGGAAAAAAATTTTGATTAGAAATCCGAAGGCAGGTTGGTTCATTTCCGTCCCTGCTTTCTCATCTCGCCTCCCCTCGACCAGAGTAAAAAGGGAAGAGAAGGAATTAACCTGCCTCTCTGACCGCTTCCTCTGCCGAGGGATAATATTTTGGGGTGACATTTTCAACAAATCAGACTTTGTAACTGACCTGAATTCTAAATGAACTCCTCAGCCATGGACAACGTTTTATCTGTGTTACTATTCTCCTTTATAACCTTAGAGCCACAAGGATCTAGAGTCCCCGCCACATCCTGACTGACCCTATCGACCTCTTCTGACGGTTGCCTTGACGACGGAAAGATGAGCCGCAGGGTTCAGAAGGAGGGACGCCTTTGCCTATGAATATTGGAGGCCATCAATCAACAAGCAGATATACAGGTGTGATTCGGTTTTCTATGTGCACAAAAACTACTTTCATTCCTAAACAATTTGAGGGAATATGTACCAGCATTCCAAGGACACGGGTTTTCCTAACAGATTGGATTTGAGGCTGAGAGAACAGGCAGATCCAGGGGGAAGGAATATTCCAATTTCCATATATCTTCACAGTTTGCAGATAAGCGCGAAAAAATATCCTGGAGCATAAAGTATATATGCTGCTGCAGCGAAGCGTATCTGACACACTGAGTGACACAGTTTTAACAAGACCCTGACCTCTACTGCATAATACATTTACATGTTCTCAGCTTATCATACATTAAATACACAGTTTTATAATGAAACTAGCAAAATAAATGCTGGAAGCTATTTCTTAACTCAAGGACACAAGCTGAATGCATATCGCAACTGAAGAATTATTATTATGGTTAGAATCCAATGATGTTCTTTAACCTAATTGGTTGTCTAAAGCCTTTACAATGAAAAAAAATCATTTATTAGATTCCATATAAGGAATCTGTGCAGGGCAGCTTATGACAACTTATGCATGTCTTACATGCGTAAGTTGTAAAACATGTTATACCAAACTTAACCTCTCAAAACCCACCGGGTCACCGGCGAACGTTTTAAAGCGTTTAAAATAATAACTTAGAAGGCATGAAAATTACCCTGGTAAAACGTTTACCAATATAGACATGTTAGACATCGTTGGAAAGCTTAGATTCTCCACAATTCAACCACCTAGTTCATTTTATGGACACAGCGAGCACCAAAGCACAGTTATAGCAGCATGTCGAAATGTAGCATGACAAAGCAGCCACAACAAGCAAGCATGTCTTTATTACTGCTGTTCAAAAAAGACTTATTATTTTCGATAATAAAAAAAAACTACTTTAAGTCATGTTTGAACTGATGCAGCTTGGGTGTTTTACTCACCCAATTTTCATGTATAAATTCAGAAAGTAGAAGGTTTTAGCTTTCAAATAACGTATCACACGTATAATTTGGGCTTACAGTTCCTCAGTTATTTGCTTTTCCATTTGGGTATGCAAAATAGGCAAATTACCCAGAAATTAGGTGGATATTAAGAGGTTAAACTAAAACTTTACCTTGGCAACTTTAAAACAAAGAACCTTGACAGAATTAGTCTCTACCCCCAGCTTTGTCTTTTTGATAGAACAATTGAATTGTATTTATAAGCTATTAATTCTAAGCTATACACATGCTTTCATTTTGGATGTAATGTTTTCAGACTTTCACAGAATATGTATTAAATGAAGCGATGCTTCATTTTTGCTTATAAAAAGTCACATTTGTTTTACACACTGTCCCTTTATAAGTAATAAACTCCTGTAAATCTTTAATAATGGACCATAATACCAGCAAAGCCAAATGATAGAGTTAATATATACTGTTGGGAGGAACCTACCAAACACTCTAGCAGCCTTGCAGGACGAGATATGATGATAAAGAGCTTTTTGACAAGCTCGGTGACGAAGGTAAGCTCCGAACTCTCTGAGCGTTCATATGCCTGCCAAAAAAAAAGCCAGAAAGTCATTAGGTGAGGTGTAAAGTCAACAAAGATCACTTAGCAATTCCTTCCAATCTATATGATTCATGTCTAACTCACATTGTAGAGCAGTTTCTCCAGATTCTCTTGCAGCTCTCGGAAATAAACACTTGTAATCAGCCCCTCGTGCGATTTGGTCAGGCAGTCTCTGGACATCTCAGCAACCTGGTGGTGGATGAAACTGAGGACCCCATCAGCCAGGGGCAGAACGTTCTCTGGAGAGTAATTCTGGATGAACTCTGCCAGCCTCTCCTCCATCTGAGCTGTAGCCTAACGAAGGACACGAACGACATGTTAGACAAAAGCACAATAATGTGCAGAAGTTTTACTTTGGCCCTCAGGAACACCTAGGGGGTTAAGGTTCTTATAGTAGTTATTGCAGCTGAACGTCTTCATATTTTTAAAACTACAATGTCATTTTTTGACAGGCAGTCTGAGAGTGGCCCTAAAAGAAAGACGAGGTTATAAGCCTTGAAGGTACCGGTATTATATATAGTGCACTTCACTTAGGTAACCTGTGTAAGAGTGCTATGAAAAAAATAATAATATTAATCTAGTTAAATATAAAAATAAATAAATATGTTACAACATAAGAAAGTTGTCTTTGTTTGCTCATTTACCCCTCTACTCCCCATCCCCGCCCTTCTGGACAAAGAAGGAGCTGCAATCAGATTAATAACAGGTTATGTGCTAAAAACAGCTGGATTTATCTCCATCAAGTCCTTTCTAGCTACCTAAGTTGAAATACTGCAAAACAAGTAAGGCCAATAATTTAATGGCACATAACCACGGTTTGTGCAGATCTGTTAAAGAACATTAAGAAAAATAAAAGCAAACCTTCCTGCCATGAGTAAAATATGCCCTCTGTCACCTCATGTGTCTTTCAAGGCTTTGTGATGCACTTTGATATTCTACTTTTGTTATTAACATGCCAAAATATTTAGGGTCCCTTATTTTTTTTATTCTGGTTTAATTGCATACTCTGTCTGCCATCAGACTGCATTATCATATTTTATGGACTATCACACCCTATCTGTTGGCGCAGATAGGGTGTGACCTACAGTATAGTCCAAAGTGGCTTAAAAATGAAAATATACAGGTAGGTCCTCAATGAATTTACCATAAGAAAAATGTAATGCATCATGGGCACTGTAGTACGGGGGGGCACCCTATATTGTAGGTCACGCTGGCCACTATCAGTCAGAGAATGGAATAAAACAAAATAAAGCAATTTAACCTTTCTGATAACTTAACAAGACAACATAGAAGGCCTGAAAAAATGGCAACAAAAAAAAAAAATGCAAGTTTTCAACTTTCACATTTTCAGCACCCTGACTAACATGGTTGTTAGTAATGATATCTGTGGCACAACCACATTCGAATATTCTGTCAAAAAAATATTCTCAACTCAAGGTGGCGCCATATTTTCCATATTACCTTTTGAGTTGTACATGTTAAATTAGTTTACCGGTGTGTCCCTGTGACATTGTTTATTTTGCTTTATAATGGATGTAGTGGCTGCTGCAACCTATACTCTGAGATCTGTACCGCAAAGCAGGATTACCGGGTTAGTGAGAAAACTTTAGGTTTAAACCCGTGTTTCTGGTACCACAAAGCTGGATTCATTCTTAGCGAGGCTAGTCACTATGGTAACACGGATGGCAGCCTGCTCTGGGGCAGGCTAGCTTTCAGGATTAATTTGAATCCTAGAAAAAGCTCCACCCAAGAGCCAATCAGCTGTTCAGGAAACAATGACGTGCCCCTTCACTGAAGACCCGATTTAATCCATCGGGAAAAAACAAGTTAAACAAAACAATATAAAAATAAAAGAACTTGAAAACACAAAAGCAGCTAAAACAAAACACATTCTCGACAAATTTTAACGGTTTTAATCAATTAATTTATTTATTTACTCTGATGTTTTGAAATCTTGTCACTTTACAATCTCCAGGGTGTCCAGTCTTACTAAAGCTGGCACATCGGATCTGAAACAGAACTACAATAAAGCTGAAAATGAAAAAAAAAAAAAAAGAAAAGAAGCTGCAATGTTCTACAGATTGGTCCTAAACAAGGATAATAAACTTCCGCAAAACTTTAAGACCATCCAGAAATTTGAGCCAATATTCTCAACAGTTGCAAGA